TACTTTTAAAGCCCTCAATGGCCTGGCCCCGCCCTACCTCTCTGAGCTGTTACACAGCTACACGCCCACTCCCACTCTCAGGTCAGCTGATCAGTTGCTCCTGAGGGTGCCAAAAACAAAGTCTAAGCGCAGAGGGGACCATGCTTTCTCTGCTGCCGCCCCTAAACTGTGGAACGACCTGCCCTTGCTCATCAGACAGGCTCCCACACTGTCTGCTTTTAAATCCCGTCTTAAAACCCACCTTTTCTCCTTAGCATTCGGAAACAAGTAGATTGTTGCTTTTATTTGCTTTCAGTGGTCTATTGTTTTTATTATATGGCTGTTATTTATTTTTGAATTATTACCTTTATTCTGGTTTGTTTTGTGTTTGTATCTTGTATTTTAAATGTATTTATATTATGTTGTGTGAGCTTATCTCTCTGTACAGCACTTTGGTCTGAAGGTTTTAAAATGCTATATAAATAAAGTTGGATTGGATTGGATTAAGCACTTCTAGCAGATAGGGCCATTCGACTCTGTCAAACGCCTTTCCTGCATCGAGTGACAAAATGGCCTTGTCCGGGGTTCCTTCACAAAACGTAACCCTCCTTACTTTATGGAATCCTTGAGGATTTATAACAAAGCTGTTTTGATCTGTGGCCTTACCACCTTTCATGTAAAGAATGGCATTGGAAATATCTTTAAAGTTCAGTTGCCTATTCATTGCGAGTTTTGTTTCTACAGAAATATTGGGAAAAGACAGCCCATCTAGGAGAGTGTTTTGACTTACCGAATTCAATGGATAATCAGATTGATAAAGCCTCTTATAGAACGAAACAAATATTAATTTACAACGGGTCTGTAATTATTACCCACTGTTCATTTCTAATTTCAACACAGATGAACGATCGAGTTTTGGAATAGAGTGCAGTTGAAGTCACCTGCCATCATTACTTTGCCTGGGAGGGATGCAACCATTAAAAACAGATTCTCAAAAAAAGCGGGACTGTCGTCATTTGGGCCATAGACATTCACCAAGGTGATGATTTATTTTAACATAGTGCCTTGTATCACCAAATATCTACCAGCTGTATCAGATATAATATTGTTCACTCGGAACGGAACAGACTTGTGAAGCAACACCATAACCCCCCTAGAGTGAGAAGAAAAACATGATGCCAGTACCTGGCCGGCCATCTCCTTCGCACCTTTAATAAGTCATCCCTAAGCAGATGGGTGTGTGGTTAAAACGTTGCAGCCTGCAGTCGCTCTTTAGCTGTTCTAATGAAGGTAAACACAGTGAAGTAAACAATAAAAGGCACAGCTCTTTGCAGCTGGTGCTACTCTTCTCAGATTCTGCTGAGTTGCACGTTTCTGCCTCCTGGTGCTGCAGAGATTTCATGAAGTGAAGGAGGTTTTCCTTCTATAAAACAGCTGATGGCAGCAGATACTGTGAGAGTCACTGTGACGAAGATGGCTTCGTCACTGTGGACTGACGGCTTCGGGCTTTGTATATTGCACATGTCTTTTATTTTGAAAAGTGTTCCCCCTCCCGTTCTTTCTGTTACTCCTGATTATGTTCACCTGGTGCCCTGTGTTGTCTCCTCCCTCCTCACCTGTGTGAGGGGGGAAGGCTGGTAGTGTGGGTGAGATCCTTGTGGCTGGTGACTGTGTTCACCTGGGCAGCAATATTGAGGCTGTGTATCCTGTACCACAGCGATGAATAAATGCCCACACCGGGTTATATTTGAATTCTCTGCCTCTGCCTCCTTGCTTGGTCGGGCCGCTCAACGGTCAGTTTTACAGTCACAGACATGAATTCATAGATCAAGGCAAACTGGTTTACAGACTCTCCTGTTTTGCCGATCCGGTGCTTAAACAAACAGCTCTACACCTCTGGTCAAAATATCCCTAAAATGAAGTCCGAGTTCGAAATATATCTCAAATAATGTATGTACTACTGACCCCGAGATACTTGAACTCCTTCACTTCGGGTAAGGACTCATTCCCTACTTGGAGTGGACAGTCCATCGGTTTCCTGCTGAGAACCATGGCCTCAGATTTGGAGGTGCTGATCCTCATCCCAGCCGCTTCACACTCGGTTGCGAACCGATCCAGTGAGTGCGTGCTGAAGGTCGCAGACCGATGAAGCCATCAGAACCACATCATCTGCAAAAAGCAGTGGTGCAATCCTTAGTCCACCGAACTGCAGACCCCCTCCCCATGACTACGCCTCGAAATCCTATCCATGTATATTACAAACAGGATTGGTGACAAAGCGCAGCCCTGGCGGAGGCCAACCCTCACCGGAAATGGGTCCGACTTACTGCCGAGGACCCGGACACAGCTCTCACTTTGGGAGTACAGAGATTGGATGGCCCTGAGTAGAGACCCCCTCACCCCATACTCCTGCAGCACCTCCCACAGTAACTCCCTGGGAAATCTGTCATACGCCTTCTCCAAGTCTACAAAACACATGTAGACCGGATAAGCATACTCCCAGGCCCCCTCCAAGATCCTTGCGAGAGTAAAAAGCTGATCCGTCGTTCCACGACCAGGACGGAATCTGCATTGTTCCTCCTCAACAATCGGCCTGACCCTCCTTTCGAGTACCTAAGAGTAAACTATCCCGGGCAGGCTGAGTAGTGTGATGCCTCTGTAATTGGAACACACCCTCCGATCCCCCTTTTTGAAAAGGGCAACCACCACCCCGGTCTGCCACTCCTTCGGTACTGTTTCCGACTTCCACACAATGTTGATGAGACGTGTCAACCATGACAGTCCCTCAACACCCAGAGCCTTCAGCATTTCTGGGCGGATCTCATCCACCCCCGGGGCTTTGCCACTGTGGAGTTGTTTGACGACCTCCGTGACCTCCCCCCGGGAGATTAGTGTTGATCCCCCGTCATACTAAAGCTCCGCCTCTAACATAGAGGGCGGAGTTGTCGGGTTCAGGAGTTCCTCAAACTGTTCCTTCCAACGCCCTAACACTCCATCATTTGAGTTCAACAACGTCCCATCCTTACTGTACAGAGCTTGGATGGTCCCCTGCTTCCCCCTCCTGAGGTGTCGGACAGTTTTCCAGAACAACTTTGGTGCCGCCCGAAAGTCCTTTTCCATGTCTTCTCCGAACTTCTCCCACACACGCTGCTTTGCCTCGGCCACGGCTGAGGCTGCTGAACTTCGGGCCTGTCGGTACCTTGCAACTGCCTCGGGAGTCCCCCGGGATAACAAATCCTCCTTCTTCAGTCGAACGGCTTCCCTGACCACCGGTGTCCACCAGGAGGTTCGAGGGTTACCGCCCCTTGAGGCACCTAAGACCTTGAGACCACAGCTCCCCGCAACGGCTTCGGCAATAGAGGCTTTGAACACCGACCACTCTGGTTCAATATCCCCAACCTCCACAGGAATGCCCGAAAAGCTCCGCCGGAGGTGTAAGTTGAAGGCCTCCTGAACTTGGGCCTCCTCCAGACGTTCCCAGTTCACCCGAACTACACGTTTGGGCTTACCAGGTCTGTCCAGAGACTTCCCCCGCCACTCGACCCAACTCACCACCAGATGGTGATCAGTTGACAACTCCGCCACTCTCTTTACCCGAGTGTCCAAAACATACGGCCTCAGGTCCGATGATACGATAACGAAATTGATCATGGACCTTCTGCCTAGGGTGCTCTGGTACCACGTACACTTATGAGCATCCTTATGTTCGAACATGGTGTTCGTTATGGCCAATCGATGACTTGCACAGAAGTCCAGTAACAAACCACCACTCCGGTTCAGATCAGGGGGCCGTTCCTCCCAATCACGCCCCTCCAAGTGTCTCCATCATTGCCCTCATGTGCGTTGAAGTCTCCCAGCAAGATTAAAGAGTCCCCTTCAGGAGCCCCATACAGGACTCTTTCCAGGGTCAAACTGCTGTTTGGTGCATAAGCATACACAACAGTCAGAGTTTTCCCCCCCCCAAAACCCGCAGGCGTAGGGAGGCGACCCTCTCGTCTACTGGGGTAAACTCCAATAATGAAGCACCCAACCGGGGGCTTGTGAGTATCCCCACAGCCGCCCGGCGCCTCGCACCTTGAGCAACCCCTATCCAGAAGTAAGGTTCCAGAGTCGACGCTGTGCGTAGAGGTACGCCCAACCAGATCCAACTGGTAACGCTCCACCTCCCGCACAAGCTCAGGGTCCTTCCCCCCCAGAAAGGTGACGTTCCACGTCCCCAAAGCCAGCTTCTGTCGCTCGGGTCTGGTCCGTCGAGACCCTCTGCTTTCACCGCCACCCTTCTGGCAGTGCACCCGACCCCATTGCTGTTTCCCGTAGGTGGTGGGCCCGCGGGACGGAGAAGCTCCGTGGCAAGCCCGGCCACCAGACGCTCGCCGACGAGTCCTCCTTCTGGGCCTGGCTCCAGAAGGAGACCCTGGGCTTCCTCCGGGCCAGGTATCCTCACTTACTGTATCGTCTTTCATGAGGTCTTTTGAACCGATCTTAGTCTGGCCCCTTGCCTGAGACCAATTTGCCATGGGAGACCATAGCAGGAACACAAAGTTCCAGACAACACAGCCCCCAGGTTCATCAGGGCACACAAACCTCTCTACCACGGTAAGGTGCTGGTTCTTCAGAGGTCAATACGAAAACAAATGCAAATATTTTATTTAAAAAAGTAAAGTCCTTTCGAGTCATCTGTCTCAAGCCTAAATTAAGTCTCAAGTCATGAATAAAGTCAAAGTGAAGTAGAGTCTTTTATCAATGTTAGTCAAGCAAGTCTCAAGTCCAAAATTATGCGACTTGAGTCTGACTCGAGTCAAGTCATGTGACTCGAGTCCCACACCTCTGGTATATACTGTGGTTAGAATATTGCTGTATTACTGTATCAAATATAATACCAATTTAATAATCACAAACGGTTAGTACAAGTAGTATTTTGTTAACTGAAAGTTTGTATAAGTGAGTTTTTATTGTGTTAACTGTATATGTATTTATGCTTTATAATTTACTTTCTCTCTTTCTCTGTCCGTCTGTTTTAGAAACCGAAAGGAAGAGAGAGACGTCACAGCTGTCAGCAATGTGATAAATCTTTTACAACATCTGGAGATTTAAAGCTCCACCAGCGTATTCACACTGGAGAAAACCCGTACAGCTGTAAAGAGTGTGGGAAAACATTCAAGAAATCTGATCAACTCAAAACACATCACCGCATTCACACTGGAGAGAAACCGCACAGCTGTGACGAATGTGGGAAAACATTCATTCAATCAAGTGATCTCAAAACACATCACCGCATTCACACGGGAGAGAAACCATACAGATGTGAAGAGTGTGGGCAAACGTTCACGACATCAGGTGCTCTCAAAACACATAAACGTGTTCACACTGGAGAGAAACCGTACAGCTGTGAAGATTGTGGGCAAACGTTCACGACATCAGGTGCTCTCAAAACACATCAACGTGTTCACACAGGAGAGAAACCTTACAGCTGTGAAGAGTGTGGGCTCATGTTCACGACATCAGGTGCTCTCAAAAAACATCAACGTGTTCACACAGGAGAGAAACCGTACAGCTGTGAAGAATGTGGGAAAAAGTTCACTCAATCAGGTGCTCTCAAAACACATCAACGTGTTCACACTGGAGAGAAACCGTACAGCTGTGAAGAGTGTGGGCTAACGTTCACGACATCAGGTGCTCTCAAAACACATCAACGTGTTCACACAGGAGAGAAACCGTACAGCTGTGAAGAATGTGGGAAAATGTTCACTCAATCAGGTGCTCTCAAAACACATCAACGTGTTCACACTGGCGAGAAACCGTACAGCTGTGAAGAGTGTCGGCTAACGTTCAAGACATCAAGTACTCTCAAAACACACCAACGAGTTCACACAGGAGAGAGACCATACAGCTGTGAAGAGTGTGGGCAAACTTTCACTCAATCAGTTCACCTCAAAACACATAAACGTATTCACACTGGAGAGAAACCGTACAGCTGTGAAGAGTGTGGGCTAACGTTCACGACATCAGGTGCTCTCAAAACACATCGACGCATTCACCATGGAGAGAAACCGTACTGGTGTGAAGAGATGCTGTTTTCTCCCTAACCCATCATGTATTTTCCTAAATCTGACCAACAGTTTTTTTATGTTCAAACCAGTGTTCACACTATGCCAAAACAAGGCCACAGAGATGCTGTTCCTCCCGATGTAATTCAAATCATGGTTTTTTAATAGTCTTTTTATTCCTTTTATAAAATATTCTATGTCCAGGATTAAACTGCTAGCCTCGTTAAGCTGCATCCGGTAGTTTGTTGAATAATCTGTTTGATTAATAAAATGTTGTGACTTAAAGGGGGGGTATGTAATTTTGGAGAAACCAGCTCGAGTGCGCTAGAATTTGAAAGTACACAACCGGAAAAAATCCGCCTCTTCCTTCAGACTTCCTTACAGAGCCCCTCCTCCAACACACACACATGCGCACATGACCAATGAGGGCATGAGATAAGTTTGTGCACAGATGGAAGGCTGACAGGCAGGTGGCCATCCAGTTATTTTAGCCGGGTCGGCTAAACTGATTGGTTGTGCTTTTTACAGCGCTACAGCTTCCACAGATGACATTTTTGTATGTATTTATTGTCAAAGCATTTAATATATTCATTGCTATCGGGATGTTAAGAGTATTCCATGGAATATAACATCTTATAACACCTTTAAACTTTGATTGGGATGTTTTGATAGTTCCTGTTGAGTTGGCAGTCTGTTCTGGTCTAAAAAATGTATATGATGACTGTATCTAGAAAATATTCCTGATGTTTTCAGTTTGATTCTGTTCTCTTTTGTTTAAATTATCATAATGTAACAAAATAAAAAAGGCCTTAGAAACAGACTCACATCCCTGCATATTTTTTTGTGTTTTTCAGCGCATTATAAACATGTAATTCCCTTGTTTTAGGGCCGCTGACAGCTGGATGAAATGTGTCACTGAAACTTTAATTTTAATGAAAAATATTCTTTTTAACTCAGAGTAGTTGTCCTGATAACCTGTTAAGCCCCAAACCTGTTTTTCAGATCTCAGGCTCGAAAATTACAATCCCAGAAAAAATTACTATATCTTCACTTCTAAAAGGGGTAAATTAATAATCTTTTTTCTCAAAGCAATGATAAACCTGTGAGTTGGTTTTAGAAAAGTCAGAATCAATATAGATGTTTTGATTTTAAAGTAAATTCAGAATGAACATAGTAAAAAAATATAAATTATAGAGTCCGTCCAAAAAATACCCATTACTTATAGTGAAAACCACCCTTGAATGATCGGATAGTAGACTAAAAACTATAACATATAAGTACCCTGTATCAGGTTTAATGCAAAACAAGTTACATTTGACCTTTTTAGAGAGGTTTAGAAAGAAAAAAACACCTCTTGTGTCATTTGGGTGTATTTGCGGTTTCTCTGGAACCCATTGGTCGATGTTGGTAATTGACACCTATTTTTAACCGTTATAGCTAATATAATCAAGGGGGAAGTTCCTATATCCACCTACACGTTACCATTGAGGAGTGAGAGTGATGTGCACTCAGCTTGCCCAAACCGAAAGCTATGTTACGCTCTGAAAACTAGGTTTATTGCCATAAATATGATGATGGATTATCAGTGATCATTTCAAAAGGACACAGAGACATTGGATTAACCTTCAGCAGCGTTTGTATGCATTGAAAACAAGCTTTTATCAGAAAAAAGCAAAGGTAAGACGTATTTGCCATTTTGGCCTCGTAAAGCTAAGTTGTGTGTTGTCTGGTTTCGCTTTCGCTGCCACAAGTTTTGGTCGCTCAGTGATGACACTTAGACCTCTGGAATCTGTGGAATATCAGCTTTCATATGATATCTTGTTTGTGCAGATCCGGTGAAGTACAACATATTTCTACCGTGAATTATGTGCTAAGTGCGTTAGCACTTTTTTGCTTAGTGCTAAAGCAGACTCTCGTCGTCAGACTTGTGTTTTGTTTCCGTAAAAATTGTTCATATCGTCAGTTAGCTTAGATTATTCCCGTTAATAGGGTATGACACATTAATAGGTTGTCAAATGTTAAGAAGCCCTGAGACACAGTTTCGTAAAAAAAGAAGCTCAATAGGTTAAACCCAATGCCCCCACCCCCAGGGGGCAAAACACAACAATATTCACGAAACTGTGCTTCTTTGTCATACCCACTTAACGGGAAGAAACTCAAGTTTTGATCGCTCAGTGATGATACGTATATGTCTGGAATCTGTGGAATCTCAGCTTGCTAATCGATATCTTGTTTGTGCAGATCCGATAAGTAATACGGGTATTTTACCGTGAGTTCTGTGCTAAGTGCGTTAGCATTTTTTCCCTCTGGGCTTATTCAGAGCCTTTGTTATTACCCTGGTGTTACATTTAGCTAAAAATTGTTAATATTGTCTGATAGCTGAGCTCCTTCCCGTTAAGTGAATATGACACATTCATAGTTTGTTAAATGTTAAGAAGCCCTCAGCTGCCCGGTACCATATCAAAACTATGAAAGAACACATATGGAATTATCTAGTCAACAAAAAAGTGTTAAAGAAATCCAGAATATTATTTTTAATTTATATTGTTCAAAGTAGCCCCCTTTTGCCTTGATGACTGCTTTGCACACTCTTGGCTTCTCTCAGTCAGCTTCATGAAGTTGTCATTCCATATGTGGAATTACTTGCCTTCTGAATGTGTTTGAGACCATCAGTTGTGTTGTGCAGAGGTAGGGTTAGTGCACAGTGGAAAGCCCTATTTGACCACAGCAGCCAGCAAAATATAAATACAATTCTGTTTTTTTTAACATTTATTTCATGTTTACTAGAATATGTGTTCTTTTATAGTTTTGATGTCTACAGTATAAATCTACAATGTAGAAACAATTAAAATAAATTAAAAAAACTTCTAATGAGAAGGTTTGTATGGACTGGTAGTGTAAATATAATGTATCTTACTGTGTTCATGCAATACTTGAGCCAATTAAACCTACATCCAATCGCTGGATTTTTATTTTAAAACTATCACACAGACATTTTAGTGTGTCAATACCTGAAGAGAAACCAGCAGAGGGCATCAAATCTCTTTTTCCAGCAACATCAACCAGCTCTGACTGAGAGATCCTTACTGCCTTCAAATCAAATCAAATCAAGTTTTATTTATATAGCTAATTTATAAACGATTTTTGGTCGAGCCAAAGTGCTGTACATATAATAAAAATAGCCTACAGTAGAGACACTTTACAGCAAATACAACAGCACAGATTGTTCAGAATATCAGTATGAGGAAAACGACACCCTCTGTCCTTAGACCCTCACATCGTACAAGGAAAAACTTCTAGGGAAAAACCCACAGTTTAAGGGGAAAAAATGGGAGAAACCTCAGGGAGAGCAACAGAGGAGGGATCCCTCTCCCAGGACGGACAGACGTGCAATAGATGCCGTGTGTAAATCGAAGAGATAATACATTTTACAGCATATAGACCGAATGTTAGGAAATGCTTACTAATTGTACTTGAGAAAAGTAGAAGTAAAAGTAGAAGTACTCAGATCTTGTGCTTGATTAAAAGTAGAAGTACTCATATCTTGTACTTGAGAAAATGTAGAAAACTATCTATTCTTTGTTTGTAGATATCTACTAAAGCCTGCAAATAAAGAGTGTAATTCAGGCCTGTGCAGATAGATGAAACTACTTTGCTGAATATTTGTGAAAGAACACATTTTCCATTTACAAGCAATAAAATAAAAGAAGCAAACTTTAAATGTATCAACACATTTTACCTCACACCCATAAAGATGAATAACATTTCCAAAGAAAACTCTCCAAAATCTCCGAGATGTAAAGTAAAAACATTTATGCATCTGTTTTGGGACTGATCTCTTGAAACATTTCTGGGATTCGATTCATGCGCTCACAAAAGCTGTTTTAGACATTGAAATTAGCCTAAATCCATGTTTTTTCCTGTTAAATGACATGCCAAACTTTAAACTGAACCCCAAACATTACAGAATACTAATCACAATAACATATTTTGCCATGAAATGTATACTTTTACTCTGGAAGAACGAACGTCCCCCAACATTTAACCTGTTAAGCCCTGAGCCTGTTTTTCAGGTCTCAGGCTCGAAAATGACATTCCCAGAACAAATGACCATATCTTCCCTTCTAAAAGGGTTAAATTAATAATATCTTTTCTCAAAGTAATGATAAACCTGTGAATTGGATGTAGAAAAGTCAGAATCAATATAGATGTTTTTTATTTTAAAGAAAATTCAAGATTGAACATGGTAAAAAACTGTAAATTATAGTGTCCGTCCAAAATATATTTTGTACTTATAGTGAAAACTAACCTTGGATGATGGGTTAGTAGACTAAAAGCTTTAGAAATCCAAAGTACAACATATAATAAGTACCCTGTATCAAGATTGATGCAAAACAAGTGATATTTGACCTTTTTAGAGAGATTGAGCAAAATAAACCTCTTCTGGGGCCATTTGGGTGGATTTTCCTTATCTCTGGCCCCCCTTCTTCGATTTTGACATTGACATCTCTTTCTGACCGGTAGATCCAATAGAATCGAAGGGGAATCTCCCCACACACACACATGGCAAAACGAAAAGGTGGGGGCTTCGTACACACAGTTTTGCTCCAGAGTGAAGCTGTCTAGGTCTGACATCTCAAAACCGAAAAGCAGATTTATTGCTCATGGATTATCAGAAATCATTCAAAGTCCACTAACTTCACTCCATTAGCAACGACAACGTCATTGGAGGCAGTCGCAATTTCTACAGGCTCGCACTACCTGTTAGCATCTGGCATCTGTTAGCATCTAGCTCTCCTGCTTACAAACTTTTAGCCATCCCTGCTTATACAAGTAGTAGTTTTAGTTGTCTGCGATCTGCGGAGGCCTACCTGTGAGTACGGCTGTACTGAGGTGTTTTTCCTCCGGAGACGTCGCGAAGAGACGGAGCGGCTCCACCTGTTGCTGCATGCGATCTGCGATTTACGGAGGCCTGCTCGTCGCGAAGAGACGGAGCGGCTCCACCTGTTGCGATCTGCGATCTGCGATCTGCGATCTACGGAGGCCTGCTCCCACCTGTAGAGTACGGCTGTACTGGAGAGGTTTTTACCCCGGAGACGTCGCGGAGAGACGGAGCAGCTCTACCTGTTGCTGCCTGCGATCTGCGATCTACGGAGGCCTGCTCCCACCTGCTCGGCTGCACTGGAGAGGTTTTTACCCCGGAGTTGTCGCGGAGAGACGGAGTGAATCCACGCTTCGGGCTTGGCCTGCTTCCACCGGGCGTGTGCTGCTGTACGGAGGAGGATTTTACCACGGCTGGGGCCTGCTTTCCACCTGTCCTGGTTCTGCTGTCGCAGAGGCCTGCTTTCACCCCGG